TGCTGAACTAAGGCTAGCCTTGTGCTTGGGGTCTGTAACTGGAGACCAGCTCCATCACAGGCTCAGGTACAGACTAGCAGTGTGATCTTGTCTAGGTACTAAGGCTTCAAACTCCATCCACCCCAGCGTGCCTTTCCTATGCTTCAACACCCAAGAACACAACTGCACTTGTTTATCTCCTCTAGTTAACTCATGATGGTAGACGGACCTCTCCTTGATGAAAGTGTCAATGCAGAAGTGAGAAGGAAAGCACAGACCCAAATCAATCCATTACTTCAAGAATCAGCTCAAACCCCATGTTTCTTAGGTCCACGAAATCGTTTCTCCCCTTTGGTTAAAGTGGTTTGGCTATGATCTCTCCCTTCATACTTCTCCAAGGAGATCTATTTGGGAGTTACAGCTTCTTCAAAGTCCTGTATTTCTTCACAGCTCCAACCTTACAAAGAGTCTCCAGAGACACAGACTTCAAATCTGTGTTTTGGACCCCATTCGTACCTGTATTTTGATCTGTCACACAAGGACTCTAGGCACTGGTAGAAGAGAGATGCCTCTACCCCATCGAGTGGGCTGCAGTCATTTGGGAGTTGGCGCTGCCGATGTTGCCCAGAGGATGATGTTGGCACAATCACAGTATTTGGATTCTTACCAGCCAGCAGATCTTGATAAATGGTAGCCACACTTTCCAGGAACTCTGAAAAAACAGAAAGCAACTTAAAACTCAGGCCTGTAATCAGCAAAGCATCCTCCTGACCTACCAGACTTGGGATTAAACTGTCATTCCCTGCTCTGTGTTGTACAGAGCACCAGCAGGAAATAAGCACAACACTACGGCATCCTGCATGTTCAGATCAGATATTATGCAAGCAGAAACAGCCATTTCCATATAAGTTGCTGGCTTCTCCCTGTCAGGGTGATTATGAGAGGCCACTCACTCTGGGATGATTATGAAAGGCCACTCACTCTGTTGAACAAGATTCTTCTCAAGGGAACAGAGGCTAGCTAGCACATGGATAAAACAGCAAAGCGTGAAAGCTATCATTGAACACAAAACCAATTTGCAAAGTCTAAAAAGTTTTCCTTCTCCATCTCTTGCCACTGACTAAGAACTCATCCAAGTTGGGAACAAACTATATGGAACTGCAACAGGAGCAAAGGGAGCAAGTTAGTCAGGGCTTCAGGCTGTATCCCAGCTTGTCTCTGTGCTGCTCCAAAGTAAATATAACACGGGATCTAGAGGAAGGGCCAGGGCAGGTCAGGGCTAGAGTTGGCAGAAGGCCTCTCCCCAGGCTCCTCATACTACCCACTGTTTACTGCAAGAGTCTAATTTTAAACAAGTTTGTTTATGGATGTGGTCAGCAGTTTACAGATCTAGATTCCATTTGGAGTGGTTTGCATGTGTGTGGGTTGGTGGGAGAGCGTATGACAGGCTGCGTGTGTGCATTGTGCCTGGGTGAACAGGACAGGGGTGGGATGTTTGAATGTCTGCATACAAGGGCGGGCTTATGAGGACTCCAGTGGCATTTAAGTCCCGAGTGAATGGAAGTGTAATGCTACGCACCAGGCAGGTAGAGAGGAGAGGCAGGATGTCAGCAGGCCCTGAGGCTGTGCTGAGGTTCTGCAGCTCAGTGGAAACATTTGTTATATCAGAGAAAAACACATTTTCTGTCCTCGGCTAAAGGCATTACAAGCCTGGTTCTGCCCAACCCCAAATCACCATTTTGGGAGAGTTACAGGGGAAGTATATACACAGAAGTACTGTGAGATTTTTGTATTAGGGAAAGCAGATGACTCGTAACTGCTACAAAGATGGGAACTGACAGGTTGGATCAGATCAGCAGGCCACCCAAGTCTACTGTCTGACCACAGACTATGCTCCACCGCGGCTCCTAGCCAGTGTCCCCCAGTATCCAAACCTGGCCCCCTTTGCCTGGTCGATGCCAATTGTGAGCTACGTCCATCAGAGGGAGCTATTTAAGCGTGAGTGGACGGAAATCCATGCGCTTATGTTGCCTTTAGGAAGTGCTCTGTGCTGGGAGATGGGTGAGTGGCACCCCAGCAGTCCCCAGTGCCTGGCAGCATATCTAACTTTGATAAACGAAATGCTTCCCTCTTTTTGCCCACTTAAGCAGTTCCCTGAATGAGATTCCCTTTCCTCAACCACATTTTAGGGGGGCTAGGACAAACAGGCCAATATATTTTAAAGCGGTCTCCCTGTACAGAACAAGCACCTGAATCCTCATCCAAGTTTCTCCCCCTTGTCTCCTGAACTTCAGTTTAAAAATACCTGGGGATTTTTACAGATGTGTGTGTGTGGGGGTGAGCATATGTAAATATACACACACACAAACTAATATTATTGATTTGTACTTTTCCTGTCAAGAATTTTAAAAGAAGTACCCCATCTAGTTAAAACTCAAACTGGGGGGAAGGGATAGAATATGATAAATGACCAACAATATGAAGAAGGTAGATAGGGATTAACTGTTCACTTTCCCTTCCAACTAGGGTCTCTCAAATCAAACAAGAGAGGTGGTTCTTCATGGGACAGGTGGCAGACCTGTGCAACTCCTTGCCAAAAGGTGTTGCGGAGGTTACAAGTTTATGTGATTTCAAGGGGAGGCTGCAGAAGTTCTTGGGAGAGGAGTCTACTAGGGGTTCCTAAATCCATGGAAACTACACCCAGTTCAGAAACTCTTTGAGCTGAAATCAGCCTGTAGTTGGGTGAGTATTAGGGGGAAGAATTGTATCCATTTGTCCAGTTCCTTTTCCTTTCAAGCCACCAGCTGGTGGGCTTTTCTTATCCTGTCTCCAGCAGGGACCAATACTTTAGAGGCAGAAATGCTGTATTAAAGAAAGGAAAAAAAATGTCCCTAGTAAAAGTTAATTGTTAGGTGCTAACATACTCTAGATAAAGCTGGAAATTTATGTCTCAAGACTAAGACAAATACATATACATGCATAAGCCTAACAGTTGCAGGTATCTTGTTATTCACAAAATTTTGGAACCTCCTTACGAAGCCTCCTTATCTCTTGGCATCAGTGATACCTTTTGTCAGTACATCCCATGATCTATATATTTTCTGTGAAAAACCATATCCTTACAAGTTTCAAAAAAGTGCAGGGATTGGGAAGCTGTAAAGCTGTAATGCTACACTAGTGGGTGAAGTCAGCAGCTTCCCAGCATTTACCTGAGTAGTAGAACTGGATCTGGAAAGCAAAGAGGAAATCAGAAAAAGACATCAGGCAATCCATAGCATCATCCATCAGCACAATCCTAGGACAAGATGAGAGAAACAGTTTAGCATCTACAAAAGAACAACCGTCTGTAACCAGGATCCCCAGATCTAGAGAAAGTGCAGGTAGGGAGCTATGTGCAACTGAGGATTGCTAGTGGCTTGGCCCAGTGTAAGAGGTTAGGAGAGAGGAACAGGAACACCCGCTGCTGCATAGACGTGGACACCCTAATATAAAATGAAGGCAGCTTAAGAACCTGCAGCAAGGAGAAGATCCTGAATGTCAATGCCATCACACACTTCAGCTACTGTGTGAACACAGCAGTGTGACGTGGATGTCAAGCATTCAAAGCCTGGTGGACACGATGGAACGAACACTGGCATAAAAACTGCAAGGCTGGTTCACATGGCTACTGTGCTACAGACAAGACAGTTACATGAGTATTAAACTGGTGTAAGCAGAATGAGACTTATGCTATTCCTCTGTATACCAGGCTTCATCAAACTGGGATATTTTCAGATTCATAAGGATAACAACAGTTATTAACTCCCAATCTATAGCCAAACAAACTCCACTTGACTACAGAGGAAATAACATTGCACCAACAATCAGCTTTCTAATTACAAACTGTGAACATCCTATCCTCCCTTCCCAATGAATGAATCGGTCTCTTTTCGTATCTATCAGCTCTATCATTTGACCATCAGGTCAAATTTCATGGAAACTGGAGGATTCTTGGGTCAGGGACAATGTCTTCTTTCTCTCTGCTAAGCCCCAGGTGCATGTAGGGAGGCACATGTATCCCTATTTTGAAGCATACTTCATGAATATGGGAAGTGTCAGCCACAGGCCATAAAGATGAAGTATAAGTGATAGCAAAGTCCAAATCCTCCTTTCATGAAAAAGCTCTGGATTTCAGAAGTAAGTTAGGGCAAAAACATTCATAAAATGAAAACAAAACCAATGCTCTGGTCACTGCCACTACATAAGGATGAAAAGGTCAGTCTGAAGTGGGGAAAATCAAACTTGGGCTGATCAATGACAGCTCAGAGTGGAAAGGAAACACTTCACTTTGATGGGAAAAAACAGACTATTCAGACAATGCTAAAGAAAGGTAGTTGGTACTTCTTTTCAACTGTGTGCAGGTCTACTGACCCTGTACAGTCCATACGTGGCATATCGTGTCATAGGAGGATTCATACAGTTCATTATAGCCAAAGTATAGGTCATCTAGTAGGACCCTTTTGAACACAGGGCCAAATGCAATCCACGGACCAACTCATGCAGTATCAATGGTCTAAACACATTGCTGGGGAAACACCGTTCTACCTCATGTAAAAGACTCCAGGGAGCTGTGTAGGAGGGTGACCCAGAAGAGTTACAGGATCTTGCAAGACTTCCCTGCCACTCAGACCAGTTCTGTTCACTGTGGCAAAATCAAACATTCAGAGCAGCTTGAATTAATTATCTCAGAGAAGAAAGACTGGGGCTAAGAGAGTCCCCAGGAGAAAAGCCAGTGTTTAAAACAAAACCCTTTGAAGATGTCAAAGTGCTTCTAATTTATTTATTATGTTCCAGAAGCCTCCTCCTCCTTCTGTCTAAAGAAGCAGTAGCTTCAGTTCTTAATTGTCACTAATAAGCATGTTACTGAGATTGTCAGTGGCCACATCAAGGAAATGGCTTTGAAGCTGGCAGGCAGAGCATCTTCATCTCTCAGGCAATACTGCTCAGCCACCGGCATTTCCAACCACTATTTAAGCACTGGAAATGCGATGGGCCACATTGCTGATGAGCTGCACTCCCTCCTTTGAAATAAAGGTCTGTCTCCCAGATACCCTCAAAGCATAAGCTCCAAAGGTTTTGTTAGTGCATTTCTCCATCCTGGAGATGCAGGAGAACAACAGTGGCGAGTTTTTTTCTGTATTCATTATGCAGAGAGACAATATTACATCACCTTCATGACAATCAACTCATTTCACTTGTTAAATCTAAAGCTTTGGTCAACGGCTGTACTCTGCAGGACCAAGTCCCTGTCTTTCTTAGACGAGAGTGCATGAGGAAGTAGGCAGAGGTCTGAGAACTTGCTGGACATTTCTTGCTGCTGAAGACAGCAAGGAGCCTCTAAGGAAGACTGTACAGCACATATGTGATGGCGGAGCATCTAAATAGAAGCAGGTGCACTCTGGTTACTGACTCCACTTGGCCCAGGAGTCTGCACTCCGGAAATGTTGAGAAGTCTTTAAATCCAATACCATCACTTATGAGGAGATTGACTGCAGCTGGCTATTTCCCCACACAGCCAGCTGACTGAGCAGTTAGGGAAGCTGGGAGAGCATCATATGCAACATATCTGCACCTCTTCCCTGAAATATCTGGAAAGGAGAGAACCCTAGCCATGGACTGTAACCCAGAGAGCAGGACAAAATCTGAAAGTCTGAACTGCAACTCAAAAGAGTTCATCAGGTAGCTGATATTTCAAGGGATTCTTTATTCATTCTTTCTTGTCCAAATTAGACTTTAAGCCCTCAGGGGCACAGACTTATTTACAAAGTTAGTAGTCAGCACTCAATGAATAATGAAAATCAAGCAGAAACTCTGGAAAGGACTGAAGAAAGATGCCTACACTTGAGGGACTCTGGTAAAGGGTGTAGTGGTCTTTCAGGGTTCAAGTGGGTTTGGCTGGCAGGAAAGCCTTGCTACTGTGCCAATGGGGAAACTTTATGATCTACTGATTGCGGTTAAAATCTCAGAAACCCAGACTAGACAGGATGTCCCCAGGACAAACTCTAGACCAGGCAAGTTGAAAGGACTTTTACTGTTCTCTGCTACCATTAAAGGCTAACTGACACAATCTGTCTTAAGGCCAGGCTGGCTCAAATGAGTCTTCAGGGACTTGGTTTGTTTACTGATACATGGAGGCAAAAGTAAGCAGAACATACAAAAAGGGCAAGATCTGCACTCTCAGGCAGTCTTTTAACAACAGGGGTACAGACCTGCAAGCCCCGCTTCCGTTAGCACTGATCAGTGCAACGTGAGCTCCCATGCCACATAAAACAGCATAGGAGCTGTGAACTACTCCGCTCCCACTGCTCAAATGCAGGCAGCAAGTTCCTTGTGTTTCTGTTACAAGAGAAAAGTCAGTGCTCAGGGACGGATCTTGAAATCATGGCATCAAACCAGAAAAATCCCTTCATTTTCTGTCCTTCTGCAATTCCAAGATTCAGAAAGCCGAAAGGTGTCTGTGAAGATCAAAGGTATCTCTGTAGATTAAAATCTTCAATCTGCTAATGGCTATAGCCCTTTGAAGAAAAAAACATCCAAGAAATCTCACAGACACAGATAGCCCAGTTCTTTTTTGGGTAAGACTTCTGCATTTGTGTGGCACCAGGAACAGACAAATGGAGCGCTCTGGTGTAATGCTAATAAAATCTATATTGTTGTAGCCTCTGTTCTTCTGCTCTGACATTTCCCAATCTTACACTCAGTGTTTGTTACCAGTGCATAGCAACAGCTCCTGGACGAGTGAAGCGCACCGTGCTGTGAGATCATCTCAGTCATGCAGCACTGAGACTACAACTACGACTGCTCTCTTCCCAAGGGCGCCAATAATTACACAGGTCCTGGCTGTATCAGTGAATGCTGTGGCTAATCCTCCCCCTCCCTTTTTTTATTTCTTTTCCCAACAAAACAACAATTGCCCCCCCCTGCCGCTACTTTATTTAATTCCTTTCCCAAGCAAACTAGCAACAAAACCATTGGGGGTGTGCAGACTGAAGGAGGAACAATGTCAGTAGGTTTGCATGTGACATTCATGCTTTGCAAGGACTCAATCAACTGGTGCCGGAAGACAGCCTGCAGAGTTCACCTTTCTAACTGGCAGAGACCAAGTAGGACAATGGGAAGCGTAGACCAGAAAAAGGACAAGAGAGTGAGCAACACTTGGAAGGAAATAGAAAGATGGTTTAGAAATATGGCAAGTTTTATTAAAATTGTTCAGCTAGATTAGCTTGTAACAGAATAATAGCAATGTGTAAGTAAATCTCTAGGCAGCCAAAAGTAGGAGTGAGGTCATCCCCACCTGAGCCTGGGTGCCTCTGACAGAGATCTCATTTCTCTCCAACACCTGCTCCCAAAGCCTGCTTGTCTGTCTCTATGGCACACGCACAACAGTGCAGCAGGCCCCTGAATGGGGCCTCTGGTTTACAACAGCCTTGTGGATTAAATTCCTTGACACAAACATCATAACATGTGTAGATATGCTGAAGTCTCCTTTCATGCACCATCACAAATTCCTGCTCAGCTCAGCTGGAACCCTATGAAATACACACCAGCACATGGGACTGGTGCTTTTGTACCTCCATGAAAGGAAGCAGCAGATATATCCCTGCTACAGGGTTAGCATTCTTTCTTAGTCTGGCATTGGAGGCCAAGCAACTGTACTTTGTGGAGCCCCAAAGGCCCATTGATGAGCTAGAGGGAAAAGTGGTGCTCAACTTTTAGTTTTAATTGAACCAACACAGCTTTAACTGCAGCTCAGTTCAGATAGCAGCACATAGGAGCCAGGGAAGAATCCAGAGAATCAGCCAAGTGGAAGTACTAGCAGATGGATAACACTCCTCTTTTTCGCTTTCCTTTCTTAATACAATTTCCATGGGACTCTGATGCTGAAGAAAGATGACAGAATGACAAATAGAAAATGAGGACCTTTTCATTATTTAGGCCATGAACAACTTAAGCAGCAGCTAATATCCCAATCATGTGCCTGGATCCTGTTTCCAAATGCCATATCTAGGTCCATGAAAAAAGATACATTTCCATGCCCCCTCTGCTGAGATGGCTAGGAATGAGAGCGTTTATTCAGTAACCTTGCTGTGATTATATATGTGTGTGTGCATGCGCACTCCTACCGAGATCTGAACTGACCCCCCCACCCCAACAGATGCATATGCCTTATTACATTTTCACTATCAGATAGTTAATAATCAACTGCCTGGGCTGGACTGGAACCAGCAAGCACTATCAGTAAAAAATTCCATATCACATTATCAGTGCCCTGAGCCATCTATCTGCTTTAGGCCTTATCTAGATGAAAATAAAATTTCAAACAGATTAGCTACCACGTTCTTAGCTAACATACTTTAAAACACTGGCAATCCTTCAGAGGTTAGTACCTTTTAAACATGATCAACCATAGGAAGCTGGGGCAGGGGGGGGACCACAATTTAAAAATGGTAAACATTATTTAAAATAGAGTTTAAAATCTCGTCAGTTACAAACACAGTGGCTAACATTCTTTTCTATGCAACTCATCTTCTGAACTTAGAGCCAGCAGCAGCATTCTGCACTGATATTTCAGTCCCTGTAAACCTTAAATATACACTCTT